GTTTCGACAACCTGTGCGGAAGTCATCATCAGAGTCAAGAGAGTCACTTGACTCTGATGATGTTATCACCATCACAACAATTATCTTCTTGACTGGATGGGATCAAAAGTTGAATTTGAAATTAAATGTGAGAAATGATTTCCAGCACTGTATTAAAGAATGCAAGAATAAACATAACAGGCAAGGAACACATGTACAGACACATGCATGTTTGACTAATGCACAATATCCCTGTCACAGGTATTAGACACTTTAATCTGATAGCAGATTGACTGACAATGACCGGAGAATTGAAGGTGCAAATATACATCGCACAATAGGTGAGTGATACATGTACATGTGTATTTTCCTGGATTTGGACTTTCTAACAACTAACAGCACTAATGCTATTAAAAAACACCGCAAATGTTGATACTATAAATAAAAATCCTCAAAAGAGCATCTGTTGAGCTTCATCTTTGTCAACAATTACAAATATCTATAAATAGTATTTACCTAAAAATAAAAATTGCATGTTTGTAATGTGTTTATGTCAGTTACAAAAAGGAAAATGAAATAATTCGACTTCTTGATGGTGTTATTTTTGTTCAGAATGATGTAGTTATCATTTTGGGTGTTATGCATGCATAGCTCACAGTTAAGCTTTCTTTTAAACAGAGATTTAATTATTTCCCACATTTTCATGAGAAAAGGAGGGAAGAAGATGTTCTCACATGAAAATTGTGGAATTGACACTTATCATTACAGTCAGTTACATTTAAATGGCATACTTTTTGCAACTATCTAGAAAAATATCATTTTTAATTATTGTTATGGTGTAGTAAATAGTAAGATCTTAATTAAATAACAAGAAAAGGACAAACTTTCAAAACAGTCACATCAATATCATCTGTCTTCCAAAAAAATATATATTGACCAATAAAAATATGTATTCCTTTTATCTGAGTGGACAGTATTATTATTTACTTGTTTTCTTTGCAAAGTGAAAATTCTTTGCAGTCTAAACTACCAATCACAAAGGAGGTAAAAACTGTTAAAAAAAAAAAGACATGAAGAGACCAAGGATTCTTTGCTGCTGTGTAACCATATCTGTTTCTTCCATCCATGTTATAAAAATTAACAATATTGACCGAGAATTTGGAGAAGTAATATCTACTACAGCTAGTTAACACAGGTAGTGGGTAAGGCCAATGATTGGAGTCAGTTTATATTAATTATTATCTTTACACAGGAAGTGTCTCCGCTGAATGTTCTTCCATGAACTTTCTGAAGTTCTCATTCTCCAGTTCAGTCATCACCTTATTTAGGGCATAAATCTGTGGAAAAAAGGAAGGCAACGCATCTCATTTAAATTTATATATTCAATAGTTCATATCAAGGTTGAAGCAGCCTTCCATTGTTCTGAAACTTCTTCAAATGTTTTTATAACATAACCGATGTAAAGGCTCATCCTCGGTGTAAAAACCTGTGAAGCTCATGAGTGACGTAAAACAAAGACAACAAAACATTATAAACAATAGCATACAGCAAAACAATACCTCATGAAACAAAGTAATCCTTGTCAGGTTTTTACACCAAGGATGACCCAAAGTAAAGTGCTCTCTCTGATTGGTCAATTTAGTGTCCCCCATTTGCCCATGGGTGTACGCTGCTGATGCGAGCAAATGCAAAGACTATTTTTCCGCGTGCGCTTGTTTTTTCTGGTCACGTAAGATTTATTAAATAAAAGGGAACTCATTAGCTACAGTGTATCAATGTTATGTTATAAAACAAATGGTAAACACCACAGCGTAAACTATTGAGTTATGAATGCACTTGGGAGGTTTGCTAAGCACTCAAGAAGCTAGAGTCACTCTCGGCTGTGCTCTCGCATGACTCTTACGCTTCTTTTGTGCTTAGCAACCTCCTGCATGCATCCATAACTCAATAGTGTACGCTGTGGTGTTTACCATTTGTTAAGTAGAAGCCTCACTCCAAGTATGATATTCTAAAATTGAGGTTCTTCACAACAACATAGGTTATGGATACTTTTTTGGCCATGAAAGGTCAGCAGTTATAATGCATAGCGTCATTGTTTTATATTAAAATACACAGCTTAGGTATAGATTGAAATTTTGTCGCAGTACCTCAGCTCTCTGCCTTTGTTTAAGTTGTAAAGTTGCACCATATGCTCTTTTCTGCTCTTCTTTTGCTGCCTTCTCTTTCCTTTTTTGTTCTTCAGCTCTCATTTTATTTCCTAAAACAACAACAACAAAAATACAATCACATAAAAACAGATTTGAGAAATGAGCATATGTCAGATTTAAAGATTTAAAGGGCATTTTAGGCCTCATATAATTTGCTCCAATAAAAATGGGTTTCTCAATTACTAGTAAAAAAAATCCCATTCTAAAGGTAGCTGGTCTGTAGTCTGATAATGTCTGTAAATGAGATATCATCAGAGAAATGAATATTTTGCAGACAACCAAAGCTTTGAGTTAAAATGTGACAATTTGAGGACAATTCTTTGATTCATCAAGCTAGATGGGGTTTTAGTTATTTCATAACCCCCCATTCATTTTCATTTTGCACATTGACAACAAATCTTACTGACTTTTTTGTTTTTTTCTGGAGCAGCATTTGAGATCAGCTTTTTCATGTCACTCTAACTGGACTCTACAGGGTGACTCTGCTTTTCTTCCTTGTGAAGTAATAAATTTAAGATGAAGAAGTGAAACTCTGGAGCTGACTTTTTTCCACTTGTTTGGTTTCTTTTCAACCAATAAAAGGGGACAAATATTGATGTGGACCGAGGTTATTGCATGATAACTGTCCAAAATTTTGCAAAAAATAGCAGATATAATCACAAGGAAACTTATGTGTGGGGAAAAATAACAACTATGTATACCACATTTGTCATCCTTTTAAACTCATTAGATATAGTGATTCATCTGTCATTCAAGTGGCTGTTAGCTTACCTATTGTTATCAGTCTTGTTTTAACCAATCTTTGACTCTGGAATAATAAAAAGACCAGATACATGTGTTTATTTCAAACACCATCTAAGAAAAAACTACAAAATATATCATGCTTTCCAGTACTGGATTACTCATACCTAATAATAAATATTATTTCTAATGAAGTAAAATCATTTGTCTCACAACTTAGTCACTTTGATGTGGATTGCAACACAGCATACTATGAGTCTTATACTCACAATTCACCATATCTACATCAAAATTGACAACCTTTTAAGGTCAGCAATTATATATCATTGATAGTATTTTCAGCATAATCACTAATTTCAACCTTTTTAGCAATACAAATATAGATTATTTGCATTGAAAGAAATATACTTCTACAAAATTACCTTAACGTCTGACAGTGAAGGAATATATTCCACTTTCTTCAGTTCATCTAAAACACAACACAATATAGGCCAATAGATTCAATGGCAGTATTAAATTAATTAAGTCCCTAACCTCAATTTTGAAGTATTGATTATTATTTCTTTACAGACTTGCGTACAATCTTTAAATTCACTGTCTATGGTACATCTCCTTGCTTTGTGGTTTTTTAATTGTTTTATTGCAAAGTAAACTTACTACTTGTTGAAAATGGTAAAATTTTAATAAGTGCCTAGAGTTAAACATTCAAGCTTCCACTCTCAGGGTCCAAAAATTATTTAGTACCTAAGGAGCCTCACTGAATAAATATAGTACATCACATACTGCTACTTACATTATTTTAATTAACAGTTTCAAAAGTAAGCACCATGCCATATGCACTTGATTATTTGGTATCATGTCTGAACTCTTCACAATCTTTTTTCTCCCCTTAATCCAATTAAGATTGATGGATTAACTGATTGATTCACAAACTAACTAAGTGACTGATTGGCTGACTGACCAACCATTTGAATCAGGTGAAATACTTGATACATTGACTGATGGAATGTCTGATTGATTGACAGCAAAAATTAAGATTTGTTTTTAGTTAGTGTTCTTGTACTATCATTCATTTGCTTTGGTTTGGATTTAACTATGAAGCTGGAGTCAGGTGCACATAATGTGCTGGTGGTCAGAACACTTATAATAAGAAGTACTCCTTTCTCCTCAAAGTCCATATAAAGCAATATCTCGTAACCTCCAATAAAAATTTAAAAAATATTATTAAAATAAGGTGACCTACGTCTACAATTCATTTCTGCAAAGGATATTAAGTTTATTTTTATTTAGCAGTAAAGAATTTGTTTTTAGGCAGTAAGAACTTCATCTTTTTTAAAATATTGTTGGACAAGTTAGAATTTCATTGTGACTGGAATGTTGTACTATAATCTGGAAGTATGTTATACAACATATTGTAAGTAATTGTATGTTCAGCAAGTAAGTAGAGTTTTTCTGCAAAGAATTTATCCAGTATTTTATTGCTAGTATAAGTAACCCATATTGTAAGTGACAAATTTTGTTCTGTAAGTAGTGTATGTTGTAAGTAGTGTACATGTAATAATTGTACTTTGCAAATTAAATTATTGTTTTAAAAAATGTAGAAAAATCAGTGATACACTGTGCCTTCAGTGCTACTTTTCTTGCCACGTGTTGACATTATTTTTTTCTGAGAAGAAAGCATTGAAACTTGAAATATATACTTGAGAGATAACCAGTAGCGTAATCAATCAAATTACAGCATTTTTGATGGAACACTTTCTCATAGATTTATAATACAGTAAACACTTTTCAATACTTGCCCACTGAAGGTGTACAAGGTGGAGCACATGGTACTCCTGAAATCATTCGGGAGTGTGCTTCAGATAAGAATATCTTCTTAACTCTTTCATCTTCAGAGTTCCATAATTTCCACAGTGATGACAAAGAAGAAAATGAAGAGGTATTTTCTAATTCTTGTTGTTGTTTCCCAGGAGAAGGTGTACTTGAACTTGATTTAATATTAAGTAAATTGGTATTAGATACTTTAGGTAAAAGGATTCTGTTACCGTTGTTCTTCTCATTAGGATTACTCTTGTTGCCTTTCTTTGGTGCATAAGCTGCATGTAGTTTTTGTACGCTTAAGTATTTTGTGCAGTTGTGTTTTGATTGGTGTGAATTTGTCCTTGTTGTTTCCTCTCTGGAATTTAATTGAAGACCTGTAATTTAGAACATCACTGTCAAAGTCAATCATAAGTTTTAAGTAAAATGCAATTAGTTGCTAACTAAATGTAGAAAGAAGTTTTTATAATAACAATCAAACAAGATGAGGATGATTCATTGCAAAAGGGAATAAATCACCGTTATTTAGATCCAGTCTACAAACTACTATTCCTGCAGCTGATAACAACATGTAACTCTGAGGTTCATTGCTAAACTTACAATTTCCTCACAAAAAATTGTAAATATTTACTGTGACAGCCATCTGAAATCCTATATCGCTCACTGCCATTGCTGCTAAACTCTTAAAAAAAAAGACAATCTATATGAAGGTTATCTAGGAGAGATGAATTTTTAACATTTAACTGTACTACACAATTGAAAATTCTCATATTGATAATTGCCCAATACAAGTCTATAAATTATTGTTATTATTATTATTAGCATTATTATTATTATTATAAATAATATACAAAATAATACCTTGGTGCTTCTTTTGTTTATTTAGGTTGGCAAGTCTGGTGAATAATCCAGACCCCCCTGAAGCTGTTTTTGATGAGTTTCTTCTTTTCCTGGGTGATTTTGATTTGCTACATTTTTTTCTAGCCCTTTTGTTTGCCTTTTCACAAGAACTCCCCTCTTTCTGTTTGATTTCCATTTCAGCAGCATTATCATCGTGTTTAATGTTCTCCACTACAGAAGAGTCACATGTTTCCTCCTTTTTCTCGTCTACCACAGGATCATTGCTGTTTATTTTAATTTCTTTCTGTTGACAGTTTTCCTTCTCTTTTATTTGCTTTTCAGGATTATCTACATCATCTTTGATTTTTATTACTGATGTTCTACATGGCTGTAGTTTTTCTTCCCCATTGATTTTACCAGCACCTGAAATCAATAATTAACAATTATTCCACGAGTGTCCATTGGATATGAAATGATAGATAGCCAATGAGGCACATAG